AATAAAAATACCTGGGCAAAATAGCTACTGTGTCTCATTCTTCTAAATGTTGAGTGTTTCTTTAAAACCTCTCCATTTGGATTTTCATTTGTGTTTGTGTTGTGTTGGGGAGCAATCCTCGGGAAGAGCCTAGAGAGCTGGGAGTGGTGGGAAGGTAGAGATGGCTACTTGTAAGAGGCAGAACAGAACATAGGCCGGTTCCTTAGGCATATAAGTCTTGCTATACTGTGGTGCTTTGAATGAAAGCTCTGTAGGCTCTGTGGTTTGAATGAACATGGCTCCTATAGGTTCACGTAATCCAATGCTCGCTCTCTAGTTGGTAGAACAGTTTGTGGGAAGGATTAGGAAATGTGGCCTTGCTGTAGGAGGTGTGTGACAGGGAATGGAATTTGAGTTTTCAAAAGCACGGAAGAAGCCCAGTCTCACTCTGCCTGTCTTTATGACGCAAGCTCTGTCAGATACAATGCAAGCTCTCTGCTACTGCTCCGGTGCTATCCCTGCCTGCTGCCATGCTTCCCACCATGATGGAATTGTAATAAGTTTTACAAGCTTTCTTTTATAAACTGTTTATAAATTGACCAATTAAATGCTTTCTCTTCACAGCAATGGAAAAGTAACAAAGGCAGTATCAGATGCTTGAGCTCCTGGTCCCCAGGTAGCACTGTTTGGAAAGGTGGGCAACCCTGCCGGAAGAAGCACATCACTTTGAGAGCTGAAAGCCTCACCCACGACCAGTTCACTTTCCCTGCTTCTCGACTGTGGCTGAGGATGTGAGCTCTTGGTTTCCTGTTCCAGCTGCCCCTCCTTCCTTGATGCTACAGACCTCTCCTTCCAAAACCGGAAGCTCAAACTCTCCTGTCTTAGATTGAGTTCGGTTGTGGTATCTTGTCACAGCAGCAGAAGAGTAACCGATTCGTAGCCCAGTGCCTCCATTTGGAAGTGAGCCCCAAAGGCCATGTGTTAAAAATCTTTGTGACCAGTTAATTATTGGGAAGTAGTGGAGACTTTAATAAGTGGAGCCCAGTGGAAGAAAGTTGGGTCACTGAGGAAATGCTCTTCTAGGGGATACTGAGATTTTGGCCCTTCTTGTCCCCCACCCCCTTTTTTTTTTCTGGCTTCCTCTGCTGCTCCGCCTCACTGTAGCATCGCTTTTCCTGGGGAGACACAGCAGATGTCTATTTGCCTCAGATGGGCACGAGCAACAGAACAAAGAAACGATTCTTCTAAGTCTAGCTGAGATTATTGGAGTTACTTATAGAAGAGACTCAAAGGCAAGCACACCATAGAGAAGCCTGCCTAGCGCAACCGGCACAAATTCCAAAAAGTGGGGCTTGGGGGGTCTCCTTTCTACAACCCTGCTGGAGAAGCTTGTAGCCTTCAGCTGTGTGTGTGTGTGTGTGTGTGTGTGTTCATCATCCAATGCCTCCCTTGATCACTTTTCTACTTTATTTTTGGGGATCCGGAGCAGGAAGACATCAGACTCCTGGGATCCTCTGTCCCTGCCTTCCCAGCACTGGGAATATGGGGCTTGCACCACTGAACCTGGCTTATTTTCTAACGTGGGTGCTGGGGGTCCGAACTCGGGTCTTCATGTTTGTATTGCAGGCCCTGTACCAAGCATCACCTCAGGCCCAACCAGTCACAAGTTTTGACTAGATTTGCTTGATTCTCGATGTTCCTTCAGATCATCAGAATTTATTTCCTTCCCTCCCAGGAAATGGGTGTAATCATCTCCCATATTTTCTCTGTCCCTTTTGTGAAAGGCAGGCACGATCTCAGGCTACTCAGTTTTATGAAAACAAAACAAAACAAAAAATAGCAATGCCCATATTGCCAAGCGCTTGGCAGAAACACCGGATGCCTGTTTGCATCCCCTTCCACCCCCCCCCCAAAAAAAAACTGGAGAGTTTGCATTTTAACAGGACCTCCAGGTGTCTCATTTGCACATTAGAAGGGCAGACCGGAGGCCTCAAAGGGTACAGGTCTAACCAGTTTCCCTTAGCCGGTCTCATCCCCAGTGGCAGGAATGGAAATTCTCTGTAGTTTTCTAAGTGTGATCCAAAAACCCGCAAGGGCTTCATTCTGGATTTCACTACAAACCTCTCCAATCAGATTGTGGGAACTGGCCTTTTTAAAGAGAACAATCGGGCTGCTCACTCCCAGGTGACTTATTTACATGAAAATTGGAGAGCAACAGATGACTCCAGTCCCTGGACGAAGTTTTCTGTAATTCTGACTCAGTGACTCCCACCCAAAATGAACAGCCCTGACTATCTACTTGTTATGATATGACTGACTTTTTTTTCCTACTGTAATTTGCTCACCCAGCTATCCAGTGATTGTTTGGGGCTGCCTTAACCACTTAACTTGGCAGAACAGAACAGCTTTTACTGGCTTGCATAGATACTGAAGGTCTTCAAGTGGTTTCCCCTTTAAAAGTCCTTCTGTGTCTGCATAGCAGTCTCAGATTTGGCTCAGAGATTGTTGGTCCTGCTAGCAGCTAATCAATAAACCTTTTAATTATAATTGAGTCTGTGGCCTTTTCCCCAGGGTCACAAACTCCTTAAGTCTCTCTCTTGGCCCTTCACATTTCTGAAGCCAGTCATTCTCCTGCCTGTGTGACAGTCACCTGGATTAGGCAGTCCCAACTGTTGCTTCTATTTCTTTTCCTTCTGGTTATCCTCCCACATCCTCCACCGTCACTCTTGCAGCCTTCCAGTTCAGCTCATTTATACTCCTCAGAGGAAGGCAGCCCAAACCAGGAGACCTTTTTGTGTTACAAAAAAAAAAAAAGCAGTTATTATCAGCTTTGATCAGAACTTTGCATGTTTTAGTATTTTATGTTTTGTTTTGTTTTGTTTCAGTTGTTTTGGGTTAGTTTTTAACAGTATCTCATACGTCCCAGGCTGAACTCCCCCTTTGTCCCAGGCTGGCCTCCAGCTTGATATACATCCAAAAATCACTCTGCCTTCACCTGTAGAGTCACGGGATTTGGAGACAGGCACCGTCACACCCAGTTTCAAACGAGTTATAACCCTGATCCCTGTATGGCTATCTTGAGACTGGGTCTTACTATGTATGTAGCCCAGGCTGACCTTGAATAACTGTCTCCCCGCCACACTTCACTGTCTATGTGTGGGTGTGTGGTGTGTGCTTGTGCACACGTGTGCAGACATATGTGAAGGCTGGAGTTGGATATTGTATGCCTTCTTCAATCAGTTTACATCTTATTTTTTGAGACAGGGTGACTTGGCTCAACCTGGTGCTTATCAGTTCAGCTAGGATGGCCAGCCAGCAAGCCCTAAGGCTCCTCCTATCTCTGTCTGTCCAACACAGGGACTGCAAAAGCACCTTTGCAGTGTCATGGAGTGTCATGGAGCACTTTACTATATTAGGGAGGTATCCAAACTTGGGTTCTCGTGCTGGTGTGGCAAATGGTTTACTGACTGGGCCCTCTCCCCAGGCTGACCCTAAGGTCTTAGTCTTCCAGGCTGTGACTGAGTGCTGGGTCTCAGGTGCGTGCCACTGCACTTATTGCTATGTCCTTTAAGAAAGTAGCATGGTGCATTGTCTTCTGGAAAAGCTACGCACCATTTGATCACAATACACCTACTGGAGGTTTGGGCTTTACATGGTGGTACTGAGTTCAGTGCTGAGTTCATGGCTGAGTAGACTGAGGTAGTGGGTCGTGGATCAATACCACTGAAGAGTTATCTGTCCCAAGACACTTCCTGTACCTCTATGCTTCCTGGCCAATAGGAGGTGAGCAGCTTTCTGGTGCTGTGTCTTCTCACCATGTTTCTGCCTTGCCATCAACAGAAAGCAAGAGAGTCAGCAGACCATGAATCTTCAGAAACTATGAGTCAAGGTATATCTTTCCTCCCTTAAAGTAATTGTCCCTCTCAGGTACTCTATTCTGGTGTTAAGAAAGTGTCTAATATGCTTAACTTTACAAGCCTATTTTCATCCATAAAATGGGCACAATGAAAGGTCCCTGTTTTACAAGACAGATATAAAGAGCCAATAAAGCAACATAAAGAGTACATTGTAAAACAAAACTAGAAATTTGAGTTATTAGTAAAACCATCCCAAGTTACTAATAATCTATAAACTTAACCATATATAAAACTAATTAATGACTAGATTGCATTTCTCAGAGTCCTGAAACCTCTGAAACAATGAAAACCTGGCACAATCTGTTTCTTTCCCCACTATCACCGACTGATTCGTGTTGCATTTTTCTTTTTGTTTGTTTGTTTGAGACAAGGTTTCTCTGTGTTGCCTTGGCTATCCTGGAACACCCTTTATAGAGCAGGCTGGCTTCAAGGTCAGAGTTCCTCCTGCCTCTGTCTCCTGATGGACTGAATGTGTGAGCCACCACCACCGTCTGGCCTCTGAGTTCTTGTCTTCTACCAACAAAAGGGAAAGGAAACCCAGCATGAGAAGTGGGGTGTGCCGTGATGTTCTTCTAGAAAGCAGCCCCATGGAAGTGGGTGAAGACAGAAGGTATGTGCCCAGCTGCTGGCATGGGTACTGCTGTGTTCACAGTATCCACTTCCAGGTTCTCACCGAAAGAGGAAGTTAAAATTGCTAGAGTTTGGTCATTGGAATTCTGCAGAGGGGGGCCCCAAGCTAAGGAGAACCCGCACTGTGAGCTTGAGATATCCCACCAACACAAGACCACACCTGCCTCACTGCTGAGAAAGCCCTCTGGAGTTCGTCAGGGGCTTGGAGGCTTTGGCTAGAAGCACGTGGATGTATGGAGATCGTCCCACAGGTAACAAATAACCTTGAGGAAGTAAGAGCCTAAGACTAGGAAAGGCTTGGCAGTCCCGCCGAGTGCCTCTCCAAAAGGGACTTTTGCTAACTCGTGATTTACAGATTGGACGTGAGGAGGGTTTCAGAACACACATCCTTCCCCAAGGCATGAACAGGGCTAGCACTTGAGCACAGAGGCAAAGGGGGAAAGTTAAGTAGTAAATACACGAAAACCACTCAGGTAACAAACACCTAATATTTATTAATAAATTAGTATACTTGAAGGCATTTTTCTGATATCAGTTCCTCATCACTAAGCCCGCCCACACAAAGGCAGTCCACGCCCTCCTTTGCGTTAGGGTCTGACAGCTGAGCATTAGAGGGCGGGCTGGTAAATGAGAGCATCGTTGCAAATTTATCAGACAAGAGTTCTTACAGCTGCAGCCATTTTTAATTAAAGTGATTGAATGATGAAGAAAACCCAGCAAGGCCTTGAGGGCAGACTGAAACTATTGAGTATGCATATTTGTAAAAAAGAAGAAAAAGAAAAAAAAAAAGGAAAAAAAGAAAAAAAAAAAACAATATCTTTCAGAGCAAAGCTGGCACTCAAGGTTGACTTTCCAAGGTGGAGCAGAGGTGTTTCTAAAAAGATAAAGATCAAGTTCTTTGGTGGCCCAGGTGTCAAGCCACTGAAACAGCAAGTCCTGATGACTTGAGGATTTCATTCACCAGCCCAGAGCGTATTAGCATTAAGAGGAGCACAAGTTACCAAGCAGGGTACGGTGTCCCAGACGAAAACCGTACAATCAGCGATAGATAGTGTGGTCAAGTTTCAGCCATGAATATGAACTATACAAGACATGAAAAAGATAACTCAAAGTCTACTCCCACTGCAGTAATGAACAGGGTCTTAAATTCCCTCAGTCCTTAAGAACACTTGTATAGGACAAACAGTAAGACACAGAGTAATCGTTATAATAATGAAAAAACAAAGTCAGTGTGGGCATTGAAAGACTTATGTCTGCTTATAGAAGTCACAAGATGCCATTAAGTTTTTAAGAAGTTAAGAGTCTCAGAACCCAGCATGTGGGAAAAGTCACACTGCATTTATGTTAAGTTTCTAAAGTGCACAGAATAGTTTTGAAAACACGTAAGAAGGCAAAAATGGAGACTATATGGAACTTAAAAAAAAAAAGCTTTAGTGGTGGGCATTTTCAACAGTTATACATTGAAAAGGCTTTATAAATTCACTTTCAAGAAGTGGAAAAAAGAGAAAGAAAGAAAGAAAGAAAGAAAGAAAGAAAGAAAGAAAGAAAGAAAGAAAGCTCAAGAGCCGGCCATATACTCCGCTAAACACATTCATACACGCACACAGCAAAACACAAAAGTCAGAAAGAAAATGAAACCACCCTGCCAGTAGGTTGCTTTGCAGAATGCAGTGCCCCTGTGTTCTACAGTAGGTCAGGAAGATGGCTATACACGGAGTCCAGGAGGGTCTGGCTGGCTTCTTGGCTCTTGACCCCGATAATCTCGAAGAGACGGTCCAGTTTGTCCTCAGCCTGGGGAATCTCTTCAATCACCCGCAGCTCCTCAGGATTGAGGACGTGCAGCATGTCATCAAAGATGGGCTGCAAGTCACAGGGGTCCAGGCGGACCTGCCGCAACACTGTGTCCTTCTTTTCTGCAGGGAGGGGGGGAGAGAAGAAGACAGATGAGAGGGACTGGAGTAACAGGTGAGGAGCAGCTCCCATTCTGAGCCTTGTAGGTTCCTTTCAATGTGAGTGAGTTAACCCAGTACATGTTAAACAACGAAAGCCTCTTTATCTGCGTGGCACCTAAGGACAAGATTTGCAGGCATGTGGTGACCCAAGTCTGTTATCCCAGGTAGAGGCAGGGAGGTCAGGAGTTCAAGATCACCTTCCAGCCTGAGCTACATGACTCCCTGTCTCAAAATTATCTGTGTTTATATGTGTGAATAGGTGCACGCGAGTGCAGGTACCCTCCCATGCCAGAGGCATCGGTGCCTCTAGAACTGGACTTACAGGTGTTCGTAAGCCACCCAATATATGTTCTGGGCATTGGGTCCTCTGCAAAATCAGTCTGCGTTCTTAACCTCCGAGCTAGCTCTCCAGGATTCTTAACATGTTAACCATGTGAAGCCTGCCGAGTCTTTAATGGCATCTAAATTCTTCTGAAACTCAGGAAATAAAGTGTTGACATGCTTGTGAACAAAAGTCCCAAGCCAATGTACTATCCTTCTCTCTCTTTATAATACTTAAAACCTTTCTAATACTTATAAAACATATATATATACATTTTAAAAATTTATGTGTATATGTGTATGTGCCTGAGTGAGTTTATTTGCATGATATGCAAGCAGTGTCCAAGGAGACCAAAAAAGAGGGCAAAATCCTCTGGAACTGGAGTTACAGAAGGTTTGCAAGCTATCCTGTGGGTGCTGGGAACTGAACCCAGGTCCTCTGCAGTAGCAGCAAGAGCTCTTAACCTTTGCGTGTGTCTCCAACCCTGGCATTGCAATGTTTCAAAAGCAGGCCCCTGGGCGACTAAAGGCACTTAAATGAGAGAACGTTTCTTGGGTCTTCACTGTGCAGTGAAGAGTTACAACTTCTGTTAAAATCATCCAACACTTTCTTTGTAATAAGATTAATCTATTGTAACATAAATTACAATGGAAATATTTCATATAAAAGGAATTATCTAAATGTGCAAAGTATATGAAACACGAATCTTAAAAATGAAATGTAGAATAAATCTCTAAAGGCACTCTTCACTGAAATGTAATTAAGACTTGCCTAAAACGCAGAAAACTTCTGGCAAAACTCTGACATGGGTATAGTGTGTAATCAAATTCACTACCCTGCTATCAAGGCTGTGTGAGGTGGCCCATGCTCACAATCCCACTATTCTGGGTACTGGAGAGGCAGAGGCAGTAGGGTGATAGCCAATTCCAGGCCAACCTGGTCTACCCAGAGATTTCCACGTTAGCCAGGGATGCATTGGGAGACCCTGTCTCAAAACAAAGCCAACAGATTAATTGTTGAATTTATTTAATTTAATTTTTTTTTAACAGTGCGTTTATCTCAGGCTGTCCTCAAACTCACTATGTAGCTGAGGATGGTGGAATTTCTTTCTTATTCTTCCTGTTTTCTTTTGTTTGAGACAGAATCTCAGGCTGGGCTGGAACGCACAGAAATCTGCCTGCCTCTACCTCTTGAATGCTTGGGTTTAAAGGCATGCACCACCATGCCTGGCTGACTCTGGGTTTCTTATCATCTCAGGTGCTAGGATACCAGTTGAGTGCCACCATGCCCTGTTTTTGTGGTGCTGGGTTTCATGGATGCTAGGCAAGCACTTTGCCAACGGAGCCATGGCCCTAGCCCCCCAATACATGCAACCTAGCTTAGGGTGAATTCTAGGGTCCATTTTAGACACGAAAACTATTTCTGATTTTCCAGGTGGGTTCTACCTTTCATCCTTAGACTTAGCAAGTATGGTCTACGATTTTCAAAATCAGCTAAACTGCATTTTAGCAGAGGTCCCCCAAGTACACATTGGATAGCATCCTGAGGACAGAAGGTAACAGGTCTGTGTCAAAGCTGGCTCTGAGACACAGCTGTAAAGACTTTCTAGGTATGTCCACGTCAACATGTGATGCGGCTTCCTTGAGGCCACTCTTATCTCGGAGGTCTTTCTGATCAGGTCATCCAGTTGGCCCAGCTACAACTGCTCTGTGGGAGGTGGCCAGGGGGATGGCCTCAGGCCTCAGAGATGCTGGTACCTTTGGTAATAAAGGAGCCGTTCCTGCTCAGCGCCGACGAACCACTGGACGTGGAGTCACATCGCAGAAGGGGCTCCGACTCATCGACGAAGAAGCCCTTGTTCTTGTCCAGGGGCGAAGGCTCCACTGTGAGGAGAGCGGAATTCTCAAGTTTCACGTGGGGACTGGGAATGGGGCTCGGGCTAAGCGGGCTGGGGCTCATGGGGAGTGCCAGTTTGTCAGTTTCCAACTGTGGAGAGAGAGAAAAAAAAGTAACTTTATTATATATAATCAAAATTATAAAGGGATACCGTGAAATTAAACCCGCCTCCCTCCACACTTTCTGTTGTTTACTATTTTTGATTCTTCCATTTATGTACGTTTTTCTGTCGTTACATTAATTTTAAACACATACACACTTTTAGACAGTGTCTTACTATGTGGCCCAAGCTAGCTTTGAACTCACAGAGATCCACCTGCCTCTACCTCCTGAGTGCTGGGAGTAAGGGTGTGAGCCACCTCCCCCATGCCCCAAACACAGATACTGTAACATTAAAAATTAGGAGACCTGTAAGGTGATGCGTATCTGTACTCCAAACTACTCTGGAAATGACAAATTCGGTGCCAGCTTGAGCAACAGAGCAAGGTACCTCTCTAAAAAAATTAAAAAAAAACAAAAACTAAGGCGCGTATGTAGGCACTGTTTTGGTTACCTTTCTTATTGGCATGATAGAACACTCTCACAAAAGCCACTTAAGGAAGAAAGGGTTTATTCTGGGCTCAGCTCACAGTTCAAGGCATACCCATTGTGCCCGGGAAGCCGGGACAGCAGGGGCTTTTATCGCTGAACACATGGCACCCAAAGTCAAGAAGCAGAGAGCAGTGGTTGAAGGAATTCTAGTGCTAACTTTCATTATGCAGCCCAGGACCCCTGCCTTGGGGGCGGTCCTGGCCACAATTGAGATGGGTCTTCAGGTGCGTAATGGCGGTTCATGCCTAGCAACATGGAAGGCCAAGAGGCAGAATGGCGTCTGTGGGTTTGGGTCTAGCCTGGTGAGTTTTAGGTTAGACCCTGTGTTTGTGGTCCTTCTCCTTTGAAAGAGAGAAAGTGTGTGTGTGTGTGTGTGTGTGTGTGTGTGTGTGTGTGTGTGTGTG